GTGGCATGCTCATCTCGCCTCCCATACCTTCCCCTCCCTCGGTTTCACAGGTACCCCTGGGTGCTCCTCGTGCTATTCCAACTCCTCCTCCCCTCCGCCTCTCTGCTGGGTCACCTCAGTGGCGTGCTCTCAGGCCTAGCATGTGAGCTCCCTTCCTCCCTCATACCAGTTGCTTGAGCCCTTCTGCTCTGTTGCTGTCAGTCCGTGCTTGTTGCTTGCGACCTCTGTTTATCCTTCTCCCCTCCGCCTCTCTGCTGGGTCACCTCGGTGGCATGCTCTCAGGCCTAGCATGTGAGCTCCCTTCCTCCCTCATACCAGTTGCTTGAGCCCTTCTGCTGCTGCCAGTCCGTGCTTGTTGCTTGCGGCCTCTGTTTCTTCTTCTCCCCTCCGCCTCTCTGCTGGGTCACCTCGGTGGCATGCTCTCAGGCCTAGCATGTGAGTGAGCCCCTATTCCCATGTTTGTACATTGTCGGCCTGTCGCTCAGATTTGTTGCACGAGCCATTTTGCTCCTGTCAGTCCGTGCTTGCTGCTTGTGCCCCCCTTTTCCCTCCTCCTCTCCTCCGCCTCTCTGCTCAGTCATCTCAGTGGCGTGCTCTCAGGCATAGCTTGTGAGCTCCCGTCCTCCCTCGTACTCCTATTCTCAGCCAACTTACTTTTTACTTCCCTCCGTCTCTCTGCTGGGCAACCTCAATGGAGTGCTCTCAGGCCTTGCATGTGCGCTCTCTCCCACCCGCGCAGCCCTTGATTTTGCAGGGTGTTTTTTATCATTCTTAAATACCCTCTCTCCCATGTAGACATGGGCAAAAAAAATCGCATCGCATCACATCGCACATAATCGCGTTTTTGCGATTGCGTTATTTATTTATTTATTTAATAATTCATCGCGCGATGCGATAAATTGTTTATTGCGCGATTTAGTTTAAATCGCGCTGGAAAACGCGATTTAAATGCGATACGCGATTTCTTTTTCCATCGCGGGTGATGCCGTACTGAAACCCTCTCTGAAACCCACTACGAAACCACACTATTTATTTGCACTCTAGCTTACGACTGCCCGTGATTCAATTTCCCGACAGCCATGGTTTTTTCTGGTTTTTTTGGGTGTTTTTTCGTTATGTTTTACAAGGCGATGCGATTTTAAATCGCATCGCACGATTTAATTAAAAACCGCATGCGGTTTTAATATTCATCGCACGCAGAACGCGATGTGCCATTTTTTTTTCCCAGAAATTAAATCGCGCGATGCGATTTTAAATCGCATCGCATTTAATTAAATCGCCCCCCAATGCGGTGCGATTTAAATCGCAATCGCATTTTGCCCATGTCTACTCCCATGCAGCCCTTGATTTTGCAGGGTGTTTTTGAGAATTCTAAATAACCCTCTCTCGCACGCAGCCCCACACCCCCTAATGAGTCTGTTCTCTTGCCATCAGTCCATGCTTGCTGCGTCTGCCCTCCTTTTCTCCTCCCCTCGTTCTCGGTAACCTCAGTGGCGTACTCTCAGGCCTAGCGTGTGAGCTGCCCTTCTCCTCACACCCGTCGTTTTACTTGCCGTCAGTCTTCCCCTGTTCTTTATGACCCCTTTTTTCCTCCTCCTCCCCTCCACCTCTCCTCTGCTCGCTCACCTCACCTGATTGGCATGCTTTCAGTCCTAGCTTGTGAGCTCCCGCCCTCCCTCGCGTTCTGATTTGAAGTTGGTTTTTATGAGTTCTCAAAAACCAGCTCACTTTCTACTTTAAAGTTTGCCATCAGTCCGTCTTTGCCTGGCTGCCTCTCTGTTGTCACACCCTCTCTTCACCCACTCTCCACCTCCTCTCCTCAGGCCATCATCCTAAACATCGTCCTTTCTCTCCTTTGCTCTCCTCCTCTTCCTCTATATTTCTCGAGTGACTGGTCTTCGTAACTTCCTTTCCACCCCCTTCCGCCCTCTCTCCTCCTTCCCGTCTCTCCTCTCAGACGTGCGTGGCTCCCTCTCTATAGTCACACCCTCTTCAGCCACTCTGAATTTCCTGGAGTCATCGCGATTCTTAGTGAGTACCCTGGCGGTATAAAGCTATATCCTTTTCTGACTCCCGTATTCGTGACTAGACCTGACTTTGTGTGCCCTCGCCACATGGAGCTCGATCTTTTGTGAGCTCACATTCTGATTAGTATCTCTAGCATGCCCCAAGCTTGTAAGTCGTAATGCCTTCAAAGTACTAAATGAATCATTTAACTTATTTTATCATATAATCCCACCCATTGTGTCCCATCAGGCACCGATAGTTCGCCGGCCAGGGTTCATTGCTGGGGGACATCCAATTAGCGCTGCTGCCTTCACCAGCCTAGGGGACCTCTCGTCCCTTCGGTGCGCTCAAACCTATCTTGTCATGCACTCCAGCCGACTGCTTTTTCCTCACGCTCTCTCTGGTAAAGCGTCGATTGCTGGGGGGCGTCCCATCAGCGCTGCTGCCTTCACCAGCCTAGGGGACCTCTCGTCCCTTTGGTGCGCTGGTTGATTCTTCAACGGAAGCCTTTGAGTCGCCTCAAAAGCAGCCTGGTCTTGTCTAGCGAAGCAACTGGCCGAGCGGTTCTTTCGTCCAGAATTCCCTGTGGCAGAGCAGAGCATCATAATACCGCCGTCTCACATCATCCTTTCATCATCTTCTTGCTCCCTCAATCCGTGCACCCATCTTCTCCCCCCCCCCCCCATCTGGCCTCCCAAACATCACATGGCCCTCGCACCCACCCCTCCCCCCCGCCCCAAACCACCCCTCCCCCCATCTGGTCTCCCAAACACCACACTGCACTCACACCCACGAACCATCATCGCACCCATCTCCTCTCCCCCCCTCCCAACCACCCCTCCCCCCTCCCCCCATCCGGCCTTCCAACATCCCACCTCCCAAACACCACATCCTACCACAGGCCGGCAAGCATCAGCCAATCCCTGCACGCCACGTGGCGCAGCATGCAGGCATCCGTGGCTCGTATGCAGGAGAGATGGCGGTCTGTGGCTGCAGCAGTGCAGCAGCAGCAGGAGCAGCAGAGACTACTCCAGCAACAACAGCAGCAGCAGCAGCAGCAGCAGGGATCGCATAACCAAAGGGTATACAGCCAGGGGCCCCTCTCGAATGTCCACTCGCTCTCAGCAGGGGCTCCTGTGGGTTCGGCTAATCCGCAGGCTTCATTTCAGGCACAAGGGTGGGGGCAGAGTGCTGGTCAAGGGGGCATGCAAGCTGCAGCGACTGCTGCAGACCCGGTGTGTTCATTTGTGGTTATAGCGGCTGTAGCATGCGGGAGGGATGGTTGTAGCACACATGGTTGTAAGGTGGTTGTAAGGTGTTGCACCGGATTGAACTGCGGTTTGTTCAACGGTTTTTTGGGCCAGTTTCATATCGGCACCATCGTCATGCCATCTGAGTCAATCTGCTTGAACTCATGCTGAGGTTCCCTAGGGGGTGCCGAACCCTTGCAGACTCTGCTGCACTGGTGGGCCCACACTTCGCAGGGAAGATAAGTACTATGAGCTTTAGGTGGTTGCCCCTGGCTACTGCAGGGCCCTTTTCAGGACCCAGGGGCAACCACCTCAAGCTCACATAGTATGTACCTTTCTACATGCATTTGCGTTTGCATCATATCCCCCCAGAAATTCCCTGGATGGGGGCGGACCCCTAGCTGACTCTGCAGCACCAGGGGCACTACCACGTTCAGCTCATAATATATATGTTTCTACATGGTGTTTTTGAGAATTCTGAAAAAAAATCACCTTCACATATATCTCTTTACGTGTATGTGTGCTTTTTGACCCCTGCAGCGATTCCCTGGACGGGGGCGGACATTAGCAGACTCTGCAGCACCAGGGGAGCCACCCTTAGCAGGGACAGCTACTGTAGGGCCCTTTTCAGGACCCCCGCTACAGGCACTCCCACTACAAGCACAAGGACTGGCAGGAGCAGCAGCAGCAAGAGAGAGTGTGGGGGTGGCAGTGATAGCGTCTCACGATGCGCCCAACTACCCTCTGCCCAACGCTGCTGCTGCCTCTGCCAGTGCTGCTGCCGCCGCTGCTGCCATGGGAAGGTGCGTACGACGCAGCATCTTGGCCATTGCTATGCCAGCACGTGGCCATTGCTTTCGTCTTCGCATTGTGCCATCCCCCCCTCCCCACTCCCTCTCATCTCTCCCCACTCCCTCTCCACTCTCTTCTCCCCCCCTTCTTACTTTCAGGGCGACATTACTCTCGAGCGGCTGGGCACATTCTGAACCTCAACTGAGTCAGAACCAGCAGGCCCACCTCTCAGGCCACCCCGAGCTGCCTGCCACCTCAACCCGCAGTGCTAGTTATGCCGACTCGCATAATGCCACTGACAGAGCAGCAGCTGTGCAGCAGCTATGCGACATGGGCTTCACCCAGGTATGTGCAGGGTCTATACACTCCCCGCGACATGTTGCTTTTCCGTCCTCAACACATGATTCCCCGCTATTTTGTAGGTTTGCCATTCACCCATCCTTCCTGTCCGTTTTTCTCCTCTCTTTTGGATTTGCCCTCTTTACAGTTGTCGGCTGAAGAAGCGTTGAGTGCTACAAATGGTGATCTTTCACTTGCAGTTGAATTGTTGACAGAACAAGTATAGGCTCTGTACCAATGGGTGACACTAGTGCATATGGCCATCACCTATGTTGATGTATAATCTCACAAGCCTTTTTTAAAGAAATGTTGGCCCGTTATATTTGGTCTGGAGCATCTCATAACGCATATCCGTTGTTGGCAGTACACCCTGGAATGTGCAGGGGTTGGAGAGAGTTTGCTCAAACCTGTGGTATTCTCTGCCCGCGGGCAGAAAATAAAAAGCTCACCCGGACCGCACGCCGCGGCCCCCCTAGGGGTTTATTCTTGGCACCACATCCCACTAAACCCCACTACAATCCACTACAATCCACTACACCCTGCACTGTTCGCGCTCTCATTCGCGCCTAGATTCCAGCCCAAAGATGCAGAGCGAGGCGGTTTTGTAGCCAGTAAGCTGTCCGTTCGAGAAAATCCTTGCAGCTAGCTACTAATTAACCTTGATCGCCGTTCGACCTAGGTAGTGACGTGTCGACTCAGAAGTCATCTTTCTCGCGGCCCTTGCTCCGTCGCCGTCGCACCACCCACCGAAATTCCCCTCAGCGCACGCACGGATATCATTAAGTCCGACACAGCGCATTAGTCAAACTTCGGGCTCTTAGCAGTAGGTTGGTAAGCCATGCAGCTGCACAAGGTTTGTGCGTCAGTACCGGCTGCTGCGCTTCCATCACTCAGTCACCCACGCCAGTTATCCTCGTTTGCAGCCAACCCAGTCCAACGCGTTGGAATCTCCGTTACTAGACAACGCGTTACCAGTGTATGCCGTGCGAGTCGGGAGCCAGACGCGGAGCGATGGTCAGGGATAGTCCTAGAAGACGAAGAAGATTATAACGAGAGAAGCTACAGTGCACCGAACTACAGTAATAGTAACAGGTGGAGTAGCAACAACCGGAGCAACAGCAGGAGCAGCAGCAGCAGCAGCAGAAACAGATTCGATTGGTCGTGGCTTCCTAGGTTCGGCAAAGGTAGCAATAAGGGAGGGAGAGGAGAGAGAGGAGGGAGCAGAGGGAGAGGAGGAGGAGGATGGGGGGGAGGAGTAGGGGGAGGAAGAGGAGGAGGAAGAGGAGGAAGAGGAGGAGGAAGAGGAGGGGGAGGTATAGGAGGCGTGGACACGGACTGGCTTGCGCCATCAGCGGAGAACGCCCTTGCGGTGGTTCTCGCCGGGGTGTTTGCCTGCGCGCTGCTGTACCTCTCCTGGCAGGTCCTCGTGTCCACTATAGTCATCCTCGTTGCTTGCTTCAAGTACGTCTTCCTAGCTATTGCTATCATAGCTGCCTTGTTATTCGCCCTATAAGGTTAGGTGATTTTTTCTTGTGGATACAGTGGAGGGGGGGGGGGGAGAAAGAGGAGGTGAATGGGGGAAGAGGAGGAGAGGAGGCATGGGAGGAGGAGGAAGAGGAGGGGGAGGTATAGCCTTATATGAGGCATGGACACTGATTGGCTAGCGCCTTCAACAGAGAACGCCCTAGTGGTGGTTCTAGCCGGGGTGTTTGCCTGCGCTCTGCTCTACCTCTCCTGGCAGGTGCTTGTCTCCACTATAGTCATCCTTGTTGCTTGCTTCAAGTACGTCTTCCTAGCTATTGCTATCATAGCTGCCGTGCTGTTCGCCCTGTGATATAATAATCAGACTGTAGGGTCTACACCACACCACACTACAACAGAGTGTAAACTGCATTACACTAAATTATGAAGTGGAGACAGCATTGAACAGCAATTTAATTGCAGGGAAGGGTTGGATTGACGGGGATGGCAAGCGCTCCTAGGCTGGTACCTACTGTAGCTTCCTCCTAGTGCTGGTTAAACCCTAAAAGAATCTCTAGAGTAGGTTATGGGTTTTAAGACCGTATGCCCTATTACCCTATGAGGCATCACTTGTCAACTTTTACATATATTGTTATGCAGAAGTTATAGGCTAGATAGGGTATGTTCTTAGTGGGTACAACCCAAACACTATATCTCCTCTGTTCTCCCTTCGTCTACTCATTCTTTCTAGTCTTAACATGACTGTCTCGAAGGGCTTGAGCATTGTGTGCCCGATAACTGCGCTTCAAGTAACTGTCGCAACCAACACAGCCAAATACCCGAAAACCCCCACCAGAACAGCCAGGTGCATGGGCTTTAAGACGGTGTGCCCTACAGCAGCTGAGAGAAACATGGCTATGGCTTGAAGCCCTAAAATACCCACCAGCACCGCCGGAACAGTCAAAGATCGCCACCCCTTGGCAGCAGCCATCCCCGCTGCTGTTGTCGGTGCTACTGCTGCTGGCAGCAGCCCTGTCAGGAGAGCACTGCTTTCAGATGCATGGGCTTTAAGACAGTGTGCCCTATGACAACCGACAGAAATGTGGCTGTAGCGTACCCAAAAATTCCCACCAGCACGGCCGGAACAGTCAGTGATCGCCACCCCTTGGCAGCTGCCATCCCGGCTGCTGTCGTCGGCCCGCCCACATTGGCGTTGGAGGCGATGAGGAGCGGCTTGAGGGGGAAGGAGAGGAGGCGGCCGAGGGAGAGGGTGAGGAGGAGGTGCAGGGAGAGCTGGAGGAGAATAAAAAGGAAGAGGGAGGGGGCGGAGGAGAGAACGGAGGAGAGGCTGCCGTTGGCACCGACTGAGGCAAAGAACACCTGAGAGGGGGGGAGGGGTGGGGGTAGGGCGGGGAAGAGGGATCATAGCAAGGGAGATGGTGAGGAGGAGGTGCAGGGAGAGCTGGAGGAGGATGGAGAGGAAGAGGGAGGGGGCGGAGGAGAGGACTGAGGAGAGGCTGCCGTTGGCTCCGACTGAGGCGAAGAACACCTGAGAGGGAGGGGGGGGAGAGAGGGGAAGGGGGTTGGGATGGGGCGAGGCATGGCTGTAACGAAAGTTAGCACAAGCGGTGTCATCAATTCAGAGCAGCGTAGGAAGGTCGCGTTAGCAAAGCAGTGTCCTCAATTCAGAGCCCTTGGAGTCGACTCAAATGTCCTCAATTCAGAGCCCTTTGAGTCGACTCAAGTGTCATCAATTCAGAGCCCGATTGCAACGTCAGAGCAGCTTTTGAGCCGCCTCAAAAGCAGTTAGCACAAGCAGTGTCAGCATTTAGAGCCCGATTGCAACGTCAGCACAGCCACCAAACTCTGCACAGCCATCACACGCTGCAGCATCAAAGCAGCCTAGTTTTGAGGCGCCTCAAAACAAGTCAGCACAGCCATCACACGCTGCAGCATCAAAGCAGCCTAGTTTTGAGGCGCCTCAAAACAAGTCAGCACAGCCATCACACGCTGCAGCATCAAAGAAGCCACCGCACCCTAACTCGTGATTATAGCAGCAAAACATCCGGTCTCACCTGCTGCAGCATTAGCAGGGTGTTTTTGAGAATTCTCAAAAACACGCCGCGGCATCAAAGCAGCCACCACACCCTAACTCGTGATTATAGCAGCAAAACATCTGGTCTCACCTGCAGGCTGCAGCATTAGAGCAGCCATTTTTTCCCCAGGAAGAATCAGAGGGACAGCCTGGCTGGGTGTGTGAGTATAGCGAAGGCAAGCACCAGCGGCGTGACAATAATAGAATGTAAGACCATACAGAGTGACTCTAGCAACAACTGTAAATCTCACCTGCAGTGTCAGCACAGCCATCTTCTCCCCAGGGGCGATTAGAGGGGCAGCGAGGCCAGGTGTGAGAGTGGCGAATGCCAGCACAAGCGCCATGACACGGGGGATGGTGCCTCCCTCCCCCAAGGTGCAGTAATTGCAGCAAAGGGTGTACACCCCACAAGGGATGGTGCTGCCAGTGCCGTGACACAAGGGATGGCGCCTCCCACAAAATGCAGTGAGAGTAGCAAAGGGTGAGAGTAGCAAAGGGTGTACACCTCACCTGCAGCATCAGCGCAGCCATCTTCTCCCCAGGGGCAACCAGGGGGGCAGCCAGGCCAGGTGTGATTGTAGCGAATGCGAGCACCAGCGCTGTGACACAGGGGATGGTGCCGCCAGTGAAGTGAAGGCTCCTTGCAAGCACGGACCCGAGCCAGCAGAGAGAGGCGGAGAGGGCGAGGGCAGTGGCTGCTGCTGAGACGTCGAAAGAGGGGGGGGCCTGGGGGACGGGGGATGGGGCATGGGGATGGGGGGATGGGGAAAAGCACAGGGGTTGGTTAGCAGGCTGTGAGATGGGGGGAGACACAGGGGTTGGGGAGCAGGGATGAGGAAACGGATGGGAGGTAGGTTGCTAGCGCCGTGACACTGGGGATGGTGCCGCCAGTGAAGTGAAGGCTCCTTGCAAACACGGACCCGAGCCAGCAGAGAGAGGCGGAGAGGGCGAGGGCAGTGGCTGCTGCTGAGACATAGAGAGAGGGTGGGGCTTGGGGTGGGGGAAGACAGAGGGGTTCAGGAGCGGGTTTAGAGGTTTAGTGCGGTGACACAGGGGATGGTGCCTCCTGTGAAGCTAAGTTTCCTGGCTAGGAGGGATCCGAGGCAGCAGAGGGAAGCGGAGAGGGCGAGAGCAGTGGCTGCTGCTGAGACGTCGAACGAATCAGAAGAGGGCTGGGAGATAGGGTGGAGACACGGGGGGGGCAGAGACACAGGGTTCAGGTTAGAAGGAGAAAGGGATCAGCGGATGCTAGCGCTGTGACACACGGGATGGTGCCGCCAGTGAAATGCAGGGACCACCGCCACAAGGGATAGCGCTGTTAGCCAGGACCTGGCTGCAGCACGCCAAGCCAGCACTGGGAAGCTGAGAGGGCGAGGGCAGTTGCTGCTGCTGAGACGTCAATAGAGGGTGGGTAGGACCTGGGGGATGGGGGAAGAGAGAGCAGTTAAGAGCCGCAACGCAGGAGATGGTTCGTCCCACAAGGTGCACATTCTTAGCGAGGATGACACCATGCCAGCAGAGAGCAGTTACTGCTGCTGAGACGTAGGGTGGGACCTGGGGATGGGGGAAGAGAGAGAAGGTTAAGAGCCGCAACGCAGGGGACAGTTCCTCCTACAAAGTGCAGATTCGTGGTGTAGCATTTTCGTCTTGAGGTGGTCTCAAAACGCAACGCAGGAGATGGTTCGTCCCACAAAGTGCACATTCTTAGCGCGGATGACACCCCGCCAGCAGAGAGCAGTTCCTGCTGCTGAGAAATCGAGCGAACGAGGGGGGGCTGGGAAATGGGCGAAACACAGGGAGAAACACAGGGGACAGCGTACAGGGAGAAAGGGGTCAGAGGTTGCTCCGTGTGTAATGAGTCGATTTTTGAGTCGACTAAAAAATCGACTCATTACACAGGGGACAGCGTACAGGGAGAAAGGGGTCAGAGGTTGCTCCGTGTGTAATGAGTCGATTTTTGAGTCGACTAAAAAATCGACTCATTACACAGGGGACAGCGTACAGGGAGAAAGGGGTCAGAGGTTGCTCCGTGTGTAATGAGTCGATTTTTGAGTCGACTAAAAAATCGACTCATTACACAGGGGACAGCGTACAGGGAGAAAGGGGTCAGAGGTTGCTCCGTGTGTAATGAGTCGATTTTTGAGTCGACTAAAAAATCGACTCATTACACAGGGGACAGCGTACAGGGAGAAAGGGGTCAGAGGTTGCTCCGTGTGTAATGAGTCGATTTTTGAGTCGACTAAAAAATCGACTCATTACACAGGGGACAGCGTACAGGGAGAAAGGGGTCAGAGGTTGCTCCGTGTGTAATGAGTCGATTTTTGAGTCGACTAAAAAATCGACTCATTACACAGGGGACAGCGTACAGGGAGAAAGGGGTCAGAGGTTGCTACTACCGTGACACAGCAACGTACCTGTGCTGATGCTGGCTGTGCCTGTGCTGTACAGGGGACAGCGTACCTGTGCTGATGCTGGCTCGTTCACTCCGAATCGTGCTGAGCCTGGTGCGCGTGCGTCAGCAGCACCAGCACCATTGCTCGCATCAGCACCACCCACCGCCATCCCCTTCCGCCTGTATCTTGGCGTCGAGGGCAGTGAGGTTCGTGAAGCCACGCTGCGAAATACCAAAGCCAGAAGTAGAGGCTCGTACCTGGGACGATTCAGATGCGCCCATCAGCGGGATCCGAAGCAGCATCAGCAGCACCACCGCCATCCCCTTCAGCCGGAATCTTGGCAGCGAGGACAAAGAGCGTGGTGAAGTGAAGTAGAGCCAAAAAGATCAACGCCAGAAGCAGGGCCTCGTACCTGTGAGGATGTTTTTGAGAATTCTCACGGCATCCACTGACCCTCCCACGGCATCAGCAGCATCAGCACCACTGCCAGAGCCAGCACTGGCTTGAGGTGGAGTGTTAGCAGCGAGGGCAAAGAGCGTGGTGAAGTAGAGCGCAGAGAGCAGGTTGTCTGCTGCCAGCGACACGCACCTGCGAATCGGGCGAAATGTTGGCAGCGCCACTACCACCACTGCTTGAACCACCACTGATGGGTTCTGCCGGTATCTTGGCAGCGAGGGCAAAGAGCGTGGTGAAGTAGAGCGCGCAGAGCAGGTTGTCTGCTGCCAGCGCTGCAGTTACCACCGATGGGGATGCTTGTAACGCCTCTGTCACTGCCACGTAGTTGACAGCTGGGGAGAGCATGGGAGAAGGTGGGAGAAGGAGGGAGGAGGGAGTAGGAGGGAGAAGGAGGGAGGAGGAGGGAGGAGGAGGGAGGAGGAGGGAGGAGGAGGGAGGAGGAGGGAGGAGGGAGGAGGAGGGAGAGGGCGGAGAGGGCGGATGAGAGTGGGAATTGTTACCATTGTAACGTACAGATTGTCTGCTGCCAGCCCTGCAGTAACGTACAGCTTTTTCCACGAGTACAAATAAGAATCCTCAAACTCCCCTCATTGCACCCCATGCACCCCATGCACCCCATGCACCCCATGCACCCCATGCACCCCATGCTCCTCGCTCTCTCTCCCGCCCTCCCCTCCTACCCCCCCCTCTCACCTCCCGCTATGAGGTGACTTTGGAGTCGACTCAAAAGTCCCCTCCTACCCCCCCCCCTCTCACCTCCCGCTATGAGGTGACTTTGGAGTCGACTCAAAAGTCCCCTCCTACCCCCCCCCTCTCACCTCCCGCTATGTGTCGGCTGATTAGTGCAGTCACCATCTTCCAACCATCCGCTCCTGCTCGCTCCCTTGCATCCCTCTCCCACCATTACACACCCCCGTTTCGAGACGCCTCAAAGCTCCCTTGCACCTTTTTCCACCGTTACACATTCCTCTCCACCCCCCCGCCTCCACCCGCCCCTCTCTCACCTCCCCCTATGTGCCGGCTCATCAGTGCAGCCGCTATCTTCCAACCATCGCCGCCCAGCGATCGCAGCGGCAGGGCGGCATAGGCCACCAGGGTTCCAAAGATAGTGCCGACTGTATGGGGGAGGAGGGGGGGGGCGGAGAATGGGTGGGTGTTAGAAGCGGGGGGCGGGGGAATAAGTGGGCGTTAGAAGGCCTTTATAAGACATTGCATTGGCAGGGCGGCATAGGCCACCAGGGTGCCAAAGATAGTACGGACTGCGTTGGAGCGGGAGGGGGAAGGGGGGAAAGGGGGGAGGGGAAGGGGGGAAAGGGGGGGAGGGGGAAGGGGGGAAAGGGGAGAGGGGGAAGGGGGGAAAGGGGGGAGGGGGAAGGGGGAAAGGGGGGGAGGGGGAAGGGGGGAAAGGGGGGGAGGGGGAAGGGGGGAAAGGGGGGGAGGGGGAAGGGGGGAAAGGGGGGGAGGGGGAAGGGGGGGTAGTGATGGGAATGTAGAGGCGGGAGGGGAGAGGTAGGAGGGGAGAGGTAGGAGGGAGAGGTAGGAGGGAGAGGTAGGGGGGGGAAGTAAGGAGTTGAGAGTTAGGAGGAAGGAGTGAGGAGGACTTACGAGGTGACTTTTGAGTCGACTAAAAAATGCACGCAGTGGGAGAGGAGGAACGCAAGCATGCACTAACGCACCTGCTCCCACACAAAACGCCAGAAGAAGCCGCCCGGTGTCTTTAATCACCCGCCTTAGGTCGGCAGCAAATAACAGCAGAGGAACGGCTAGAGGCAGCAGGAAGCGATTAACTACGTTATAAGCAGGCGCCTCGCAGGGGATCAGGCCTAAGTTGCTCGCGGCTAGGCCTACTAATGTGGCGACTAACGGGCCGCTTAAAGCGCGTCCTAAATCGGTATGGCGCTCCGACCAGAAACCTATGGCTGCGGCTACTAGCAGCGCGGCCCATACCCCCCACGTGTCGCTTGCTGGGATCAATGGCTGAGATGGCAGGGCGAAGGGAATGGACGGCTGAGATGCGGCGATGGATGCCACCAGAGCCTGGTTGGGAATGGACGGTGGAGATTGACAGGAAATTGACGGTTCAGATGCAGAGATCGAGGGATTCAGCGAGGGGAGGCTGCATGCGGGGGAAGCCAGACTCGGCTCTACAGTGCGGAGCCGTCTTTGCCGTCGCAAATCTCGCGAAATTTGGTAACCATCGCCTATAAAGCAGTTCTTCGCGAAGCTTGTCCTTAGTCGTGAATTTCGCAGTAGTCGCTGGACGCACGGAAATTGCGGTGCCTGAAGCTGACACGTCGGATCGCTCGCTGAATGACACGTGGAACTCTCGAAACGTCGCAAATGCCACGTAGGATGGAAACTAGCACAACTTTGATGGGCCGGCGGGAAATTTCTCAATTCGGCGGCGCCGCTGGTACCGCGTGCGCGAAATTCTGGTGGGACGTAACACTGTTGCTGGTGGCTGGCGCTGTTTGTCGTTAGCGCGACGCGGCTAGTAACAGCCATGGATTCCATGGCCACGGGCATTATCGGGTATGCCACGCAATACGCGGCGCCGAATGCGGCGTTGGAAGTGGTGGGAGCGTGGGAGGTACAAGTGAGAATCAAAGCATTGGTGGGAGTGGCAGGAGTCGATATGAGGTGACGCGTTATGACATGAAAGATGAGGGGTTGGAACAAGTCGGATGAGGATTTTGAATTTGGGAATTATTGCGTTTCACACAAACGCGTTATCATATAGTTACTGGCTCCACACTTTGTGGCAAATACGGGGACATAGAGCGTGTTCCTAGGACCCCTTATCAGTCAAACCTCTTTTCAGCCCCAGGTTCCACCATTCTGAAACGTATTGAACCAGCTTGCGTTGAAATCGCACCGTGCAGTACCGCGCGCGTCTGACAGGAGGCTTGTCTGAAAAGAGGTGTAGGAACGGAAAGGACAGGAAATGCTCCATTCTCCATGTGAAAAAAGAAATTTCCGCGCCCTCACCACAGCCGCCAGCCTATTGGCGTCTGAAGCGTTTTGCCTTATTCGTACGCGATAGAAGGCGCGGCTCTTGGATTGAGCTGTAGCAATTGTCGCTCAGCGCGGTTGGCGGAGGAGGCATCTTAGCAGCAGCATTCCCTCGGCTGGAGTTGACTTTTGAGTCAACTCCAAAGTCCGCTCGGCGCGGTCGCCGCACGAGACAGCTCAGCAGCAGCATTCACCCACTCGTCGCGCGGTCGACACGATTTTTTAGTCCGCTCTGCTTGGTCTCGCATTTACTCCTCTCGAGCTGATTTCTGAGTCGAGTCCAAAGTCCGCTCGGCGCGATTGCCGCACGAGACGGCTTTGAGCGCGATACAAGTGAGCCCAGGAGCGGGTGCGAGTGACGTGCAGCATTTACTCGCATAGACTTGGGAGATTCGAGACTCGCTTATATCGAATCGAGTCAGTGTTGTGCGTGCAATGGCGTCGACTGAGACTATAACGGGTACAATGCCGACTAGCGAAGCGGAAAGTGAAGGCTACGGCGTGTTGCTGTACTATCAGTACGTGGATGTTCCCGATGACATGGCAGCAGCGGATTGGATGCGACGCATTTGCGAGGAGCAGGGCCTGCTGGGACGCGTCCGCGTATCCAAGCAGGGCTTTAACGTCACGGTTAGTAGCCTTGGGCTTTAACGTCACGGTTAGTAGCCTTGGGCTTTAACGTTACGGTTAGTAGCCTTGGGCTTTAACGTTACGGTTAGTAGCCTTGGGCTTTAACGTTACGGTTAGTAGTCTTGGGATTCAATGCCACGGTACCTAGCAGTTTTGAGACGCCTCAACGCCCGCTGCTACTGCCAGTCTCAATGCTGCTAAACGCCTCAACGCCCGCTGCTACTGATGCTCTCATTGCTGCTAAACGCCTCAACGCCCGCTGCTACTGATGCTCTCATTGCCTCCCTTACTATCGCCCACACCCCCTACCCCTCGCCGTCCCCCCCCCCCTCCCCCCTCCCGCCGCCCCTTTCCCCCACTTGCCACCTTTCTTTTGCCGTTTCCAACCGCCCCCGTTATTGTCACGCGCAGGTAGCAGGGAGTACAACCGCCCTTCATAAGCACATTTCCTCGCTCTCCCATCACCCTTCTGGGTGGTTCGCCCAAACCGACTTCAAGCTGGAGCCCTGCGATTGGCCGCCTGAGCCACGTATAGCGCGCGAGTGCAAGGTCGACAGTTTGTCAGTGCGAGTGGTCAAGGTGAGGCGCCTCCGTTCATGTGTGCGTGCGGGAGAGTCCAAACCGACTACAAGCTGGAGCCCTGAGATTGGCCGCCTGAACCCCGTATAGCGCGCGAGTGCAACATGCACACTCTCTCCGTGCGCATTGTCAAGGTAAGCGAGAAAGGTTTGCGGTCAAGGGTGTAAGGTGTGCGCCTTGTGAAGGCACGATGGGAGGGTCGTGGGTGAGGGTGTAGGGTTTTGCCTGAACCCAGCAAAACCCTACACCCGCGGTTCAGGTGGCTTGCCTGAGCCGACTTCAAGCTGGAGCCCTGTGACTGGCCGCCTGAACCCAGAATAGCATAGCACGGGAGTGCAACGTGCACACCCTCTCTGTGTGCCTTGTGAAGGTGAGGCCTCGTGTGATGGTTTGTGCACTTCTTCTCAGCTGGAACCCTGTGACTGGTCGCCCCGCATAGCGCGCGAGTGCAACATGCACACTCTTTTCGTGCGCATTGTCAAGGTGCGAGCGAAAGGTCGTGGTCCCTGAGGGTGTGAATTGCACGCGTTGTCGAGGTAAGAGAGAAAGGGTTTTGGTTGATAGTGTAAGGTTTTGCCAGGTGGTTCACCCACCCACCCCAACCGACATGAAGCAGGAGCCCTGTGGTTGATTGGCCACCTCTCAACCACCTGTCACCTACCTGAACCGGGATTAGCGTGGGAGGATGAAACGCACACACTCTCTGTGTGCTGGCAATAGTAGGCCTCCAGCATACCTATCCTTGACCCAGGTGCCATCTCCCTCCCTCTCCCTCCCCCTCTCCCTCAGTCTCTCACACTCACTCTCTTTCTCCCTCTCCCTTTCCCTGCCCTTGCCTCTCTCCCTTGGTTTTTGGATGTGGTAATCCTATGCCCAATAGACCTCTCCCTTACAGCCGACCAATTTTTCACCAGCAGAGCTACAGACTCTTCCCTCCCCCCTCTCTCTGCTCCCCCTGTCCCTGCCTTGGTTACAGGAGCTGGTAACCCTATGCCCGGTGGACCTATCTCTCACAGGCGACCACTTGTCGCCAGCAGAGTTCCACCGGTGTATGGTGGAAGGGCGGAGGGGGGAGAACCAGGGCGAGGACTGGAGGGGGAGCACGGAACAAGGGGAGAGGGCTGAGGAAGATATCGGGGAGAAGGGTGGGAAGAGGGAGTGTGGAGGAGGAGGAGGGGATGGGAAAGTGGGAGAGGAGGGCGTGCAGGAGAGTGGAGGGCAAAGGGGAAAGGGGGCAGCTGGGGGGGAGAGTCAGGGGGGGCCTGTGCCACGTGGCATGGTGGTATTGGACACCAGGAACGTGTACGAGACGCGCATCGGGCGATTTGTGCCCCCTGAAGGTGCGAATGCCCTCGTTGTGTCGATTTTTGAGGCGCCTATTAAAAAAACTCGTGCAGAGAGACAGGGCTGGCTTCTTATATCCCCTCCCTCACCGCTGTTCGCCATGTGTCTCACCACTCTTCACCGCTGTTCGCCATGTGTCTCACCACTCTTCACCGCTGTTCGCCATGTGTCTCACCACTCTTCACCGCTGTTCACCACTCTCTAGCCGCGAGGAGGAGCTCAGAGTGAGGCAGGATAGCACTTACCGCTACCTCTTCACCATGCGTGAGGACTCTATTTTTGAGGCGCCTCAAAAATAGACTCCTCACGTACCGTTACCTCTTCACCACCTGTCACTGCCCTCCACCGCTCTCGACCTGCCTGCATGGGTGGACAGCCGCGAGGAGGAGCTGAAAAACAGAGCCGTGTCCATCAAGGGAGACAGGAGAGCCCTTCCCGTTACCTCTTCACCACTCCTCGCCTCTCTCCACCGCATTTCACCCCTCTCTTTCCCCTAGGAGTGGCTTTCATCGATCCCTGCATCCGCCAGTTCAGTGACTTGCCTGCATGGGTGGACAGACACGAGGAGGAGCTCAAAAATAAAACCGTGCTTATGTAAGTGCTTCTGGGGTAATACAGGTACTCTGGCAGTTAACCTCTCTCCACACCCCACAACATTCTCCATGTTTTTTTACCCAGTGACGTGCCTCCTGTCTCCCCCCTTCTGCCTCTCCTCTTCTCCTTCTCTTCCTAAGTCTTGCACTATTCATCCAACACTCGGACGCAGCTGGCTGCTGCATGGGAGAGCCTTACTCATCCCTCCCTCCCTCCCTCCCTCCCTCCCTGCCTGCCTCCCTCCCTCCCTCCCTCCCTGCCTCCCTCCCTCCCTCCCTCCCAGGTATTGCACCGGAGGGGTGCTCCCCGCTTTGAGTCTTGGGTCGACGCAAGGTCAGGACAGGAGCTCTCTCTATGTTCCCTTCCTCCCTCCCTCCCAGGTACTGCACCGGAGGGGTGCGCTGTGAGTCAGCAACAGCCTACCTTCGGTCTAAAGGGCCCGGATTTCAAGACGTGGTGCAGGTGTGCCATCACCCCTCCTTTTCAGCAGTGCATCACCTGTGCCCCCCTCAAGTTCTTTGGACCCAGCTATTGTCCTCTACCCCAAGTCATACTAGTCGTTCTTCGAACCGATGCCTCTTGCGCTTGCTTTGCCGTGCCGTGCTGTGCTGTGCGTCTTGCCATGCGTCAACCCTTATGCCCTTACCACACTGTCTCTCGGTGCTTTGTGCAGCTGTCAGGTGGGATCGTGCGCTATCTAGAGGCCTTTCCAGATGGGGGTTTTTTCCGAGGAAAGAACTTCGTGTTTGACCATCGGTGAGTTTCCAATGACATCAGGTGATTTTTAAGAATTCTAGAAAATCTATGATTGTGCGCGGGGTGTTTTTGCGAATTCTGTAAAACACCCTACAGGAAGAGTAACCATTTTTTTGCCACCTGCAGCACCGTATTACACTGCACACCCACTGCACACCCACTGCACACCCACTGCACACCCACTGCACACCCACTGCACACCCACTGCACACACACACCCCATCCTCATGCCCTTTCTTGGCTGCTATCTCAACCTTTGAGTCCACTCAAAAACAGTTTGAGTCCCCCCACTCCCCCCCCCCTCACTCCCCCCCCCCTCACTCACTCCCCACCCCCCTTCACTCACTCCCCCCCCCCCCTCCCTCGCCCCTTTCCCGCAGCCTGGCAGTGCCACCAGCAGCACCACAGCAGGCAACAATAGGCGCTTGCTGTCTGTGTGAGAAGCCCTTTGACGACTACAGCGGCAGGAAGCGCTGCGTTGCATGCCGCATGCTGTTGCTCGTGTGCCCCTCTTGCTCTGAGCCTCAGGTGAGGGGGTAGATGTATGGGTGATGGAGACGGGGGGGGCCGGGGGGGAGGGGATAGGGGAAAAGCCCTTTGACGACTACAGTGGCGGGAATCGATGCGTTGCGTGCCGTATGCTGCTGCTGGTCTGCCCCTCATGTGCGGAAGACCAGGTGAGGGTGATCGTGTATGGGCGAGGGAGAGGGATTGCGGTGGAGAACTATAGCAGCAGGAATCGCTGCGTTGCGTGCTGCAGGCTGCTGCTGGTGTGCCCTGGGTGTGCGATGGCAGAGGTGAGGGGGTGTATGTGTGCTGCCCTGCTTGTGCCAGCAGCCCTTTGACGACTACAGTGGCAGGAATCTCTGTGTTGCATGCCGCATGCTGCTGCTGCTGTGCCCGTCTTGCTCTGAGACTCAGGTGAGGCTAGTGTATGGACGTATGCTGATGTATGTATGTGTGCTCTTGAGTAAGGCCGTTTGATAACTATAGTGGCAGGAACTGATGTGGTACCTGCCGTATGCTGCTGCTGGTCCGCCCTGTGTGTGCTGACTGAGACTCAGGTGGGTGGGGCTAGTGTGCAGAAGCATGTCGATGCTAATCATGTCACATGTGTGCTTTTGAGTTAAGCCGTTTGACGACTACACTGGCAGGAACCGAACCGCTGCATTGCCTGCCATAAGCTACTGCTGGTGTGGCCTGGGTGGGTCTGTGCCACGACACTGGTAAGGGGATGTGTGTCCGTGCAGGCAGGTGTTCCTTGGTGCTGCTTGTTTGACAACTACACTGGCAGGAAGCGCTGCGTTGCCTGCCGCATGCTGCCCCTCATGCACGCAAAACCAGGTGAGGGTGATCGTGTAGCGGCAGGATCCGCTGCATTGCCTGCCGCATCCTGCTGCTTGTGTGCCTCTTATGCTCACCCAGGTGAGAGGGCTTGGCCAGGCGAGCATCATCCTGACACACCCAGGTGAGGGTCATCATGTATGGGCGAGAGAGGGGGAGTGGGGGCGGGAGAGGGGGAAGCCGTTACGTGACTACATTGCGAGGATCCGCTGCATTGCCTGCCGCATCCTGCTGCTCGTCTGCCTATTATGCTCTGAGACCCAGGTGAGGGAGACTGGTGTATGGACACGTGTTCGGAAACTCAGTTGAGGGTCATCAGGTATGGGCGAGAGAGAGGGGGAGGGGGAGGGGGAGGGAGGGGCGGAGGGGGAGGGAGAGGGGGAGGGGGAGGGAGGGGCGGAGGGGAGGGAGAGGGGGAGAGGGAGGGGGAGGGAGGGGGAAGGGGGAGGGAGAGCGGGAGGGGGAGGGGGAGGGAGGGGGGAGGGGGAGGGAGAGGGGGAGGGGGAGGGGGAGGGAGGGGGGACGGGGAGGGGGACGGGGACGGGGAGGGGGAGGGAGGGGGGGAGGGGAGGGGGAGGGGCAGAGGGGGAAGCTACTTGATGACAGCAGTGCGAGGGGGAGCAGTGTGTTGCCTGCCATATGCTGGTGCTCGCGTACCCCTCATGCTCTGATCTGAAGCTCAGGTGTGGTGAGGTCCATGCATGGGTGAAGTGAATCCCTGCGTTTCCTGCCGCATGCTGCAGCTGGTCTGCCGTTCCCTCATCCTCTGAGACTCAGGTGAGATCAATGCATGCGTTAGGAAGAGGGGGGGAGGGGGGGGGGGGGGAGGTGAAGGGGATAGGGGAAAAGCCATTTGACGACTATAGTTGAAGGAAACACTGCGCTGCCTGCAGCATGCTGCTGCTTTTATGCCCCTCATGCTCGGACGCTCAGGTGAGTGAGGGTGATCATGTATGGGTGCAGGAGAGGTGGGGTTTGGTGGGAAGGGGATGGGGGAGAAGCCGTTTGACAACTATAGCGGCAGGAATTGCTGCGTTGCGTGCTGCATGCTGCTGCTGGTGTGCCCGTCTTGCTCTGAGACTCAGGTGAGGGGGTAGACGTGTGCTGGTGATATATGTGTGCTCGTGCCAGCAGCCCTTTGACGACTACAGTGGGGGGAATCACTGCGTTGCATGCCGCATGCTGCTGCTGGTGTGCCTGTCTTGCTCTGAGACTCAGGTGAGGGTGATCGTGCATGGGCGATGGAGAGGGGGCGGGGCGGGGGTGGAGGACTATAGCAGTAGGAATCGCTGCGTTGTGTGCCGCATGCTGCTGCTGGTCTGCCCAACTTGTGCTGGGACAGAGGTCAGTGCATGTGTGTGTGTCTGCCTGTGTGAGAAGGGCCGGTTGAATTGTTGATTCAATTCAAGGGCTAACGCGACCTTCCTACGCTGCTGCTACTTTTCCATGACAACTAATCCCTGGGACAGAGGTCAGTGCATGTGTGTGTGTCTGCCTGTGTGAGAAGCCGTTTGACGATCATAGTGGCCACAATCGCTGCATTGCGTGCCGCATGCTGCTGCTGGTCTGCTCTGGGTGAGGGAATGTATGTGTGCTGCCCTGCTTGTGCCAGGAGCCCTTTGATGACTAGAGTCGACTCAAAAGTCACCTTGCCAGCAGCCCTTTGATGACTAGAGTGGAAGGAATCGCTGCACTGCCTGCCGTATGCTGCTGCGGTTCGTCTGCCTCTCATGCGCTGAGTGAGACCCAAGTGAGTGAGGGTGGAGGGCTAGAGTGGCAGGAATCGCTGCATTGCGTGCCGTATGCTGCTGCTCGTGTGCCCGTCGTGTGCGGAGACGTAGGTGAGGGGTTGTATGTGCGCTGTTGTTTGGTAAGTAGAGGCGAGGGGATGTATGTGTGCTGCCCTGCTTGTGCCAGCAGCCGTTTGACGACTATAGTGGGGGGAATTGCTGCGTTGCGTGCTGCATGCTGCTGCTGGTGTGCCCGTCTTGCTCTGAGACTCAGGTGAGGGGGTAGACGTGTGCTGGTGATATATGTGTGCTCGTGCCAGCAGCCCTTTGACGACTACAGTGGGGGGAATCGCTGCGTTGCATGCCGCATGCTGCTGCTGGTCCGCCCCTCATGCGCCCAAGACCAGGTGACGCCGTGACGGTCATCATGTATGGGTGATGGAGAGTGAGGCCCCCCATGCTCTGAGACTCAGGTGAGTGAGGCCCATCATGTATGGGTGATGGAGAAGGGGTGGGGAGGGCGGGGGAGGACCACAGTGACATGAGGCGCTGCGTTGCTTGCCGCATGCTGGTGCAGCAGTGCTCGTCTGCCCCCCATGCTCTGAGACTCAGGTGAGTGAGGCCCATCATGTATGGGTGATGGAGAGGGGGCGGGGTGGGTGGACGACTACAGTGGCAGGAATCGCTGCGTTGCGTGCCGCATGATGCTGCTGATCTGCCGCTCATACGCCCAAGACCGGGTGAGGGACATCATGTATGGGTGATGGAGAGGGGGCGTGGCATGGGTGGGGGATGCAAGGCAGCGAGAGTAGTCTATTTTTTAGGCGCCTCAAAAATAGACTACTAGGGCGTGGCATAAGTGGGGGTGGGGGATGCAAGGCAGCGAGAGAATCATCAATTGACGTTACCTCTTTAATCTCCCCAACTCTGTTCTTTGCCCTCCCCCCACAAACCCTCCCCTTCCCCCCTTTCTCCCCCCCACCCCACCTCTCTCCTCCTCAGCCACACATCACATGTGAAATCTGCCAGAAGGGAGGATAAAAAACAAGGCATAAAGAGTAGCATCCATTGCCGCCCCCTCTTTATCTCCCCACCTCTTCTCCTTACCCTCTCCTCCCCCACAGCCCCTCCCCTTCCCCCCCCTTTCCCCCCCACCCCACGTCTCTCCTCAGCCTATTTTTGAGGCGCCTAAAAAATAGACTCAGCCGCACATCACATGTGAAATCTGCCAGAAGGGGAGCTGCAAGGCGGAAGAGATGACTTTTGAGTCGACTCAGAAGTCACCTCTCCTTTCCCCCCTTCCCCCCTTCCCCCCTTTCCCCCCTTTCCCCCCTTTCCCCCCTTTCCCCCTTTCCCCCCTTTCCCCCCTTTCCCCCCTTTCCCCCCTTTCCCCCCTTTCCCCCTTTCCCCCCTTTCCCCCTTTCCCCCTTTTCCCCCCTTTCCCCCCTTTCCCCCCTTTCCCCCTTTCCCCCGTTTCCCCCGTTTCCCCCGTTTCCCCCGTTTCCCCCCCCCGACCTTACCCCTCTCCACAGCCGCACATCACATGTGAAATCTGCCAGAAGGGGAGCTGCAAGGCGGAAGGGGAGGGAATGGGGGCGAAAGAAGGGACGCTAAAGCAGCAGAGCCAGAAGCCAAAAGAGCATCAGCAGGAGGATCCGCAGAGTCAGCGGCTTCAGCAGTTGCCGCAGCAGCTCTCCCCTACTCCAGTGGCCCTGGTGGGTGGAGTATAAGAATCCCCAAGGACCCTGGTGGGTGGATTATAAGAATGCTTTTATGCCGTAGGAGTCCTCCAGGGTCACCATGGGGTAGGGGAGAGCCGGGGTCAGAAGCATCCCTCTCCTTTCTCAAGAAGTTGCAAGACATCCGAATAAATAACGAGGTGACTGTCAAGTCAAGTCAAATGACGCCCGAATAAATAAAAACTACTTTCTGTGGCGCTGTTGAGGCTTTGGTGCGCACCAAAGCTTCAGCAGTTGCCACGACAGCTCAGGCCTGCGCCTGTGTCGCAGTAGCCCTCTGGAAACTTGGCCGGATGGATGGATGCTGCAATAATGGATGCTGCTAGAGGAATTAGACTTCCGGACAGTCCTTAACTCCGGAATTAATGTCTCCTACTACTGTTGAACTTGCCTGTATGGATGCTGGAGTGTGGCGGGGGTTGGTGGGGGGATGGAGATTCTTGGGATGCAGGCAGGATGGGCGGAGTCTGAAGATCTTTCCATCGGACATAGTAGCAGGCGGTGCAGCAGCAGTACAAGCAAGGACGAGTGCAGCAGCAAGAGTAGCACCAGCAAGAGTAGCAGCAGCAGCAGCAGCAGCAGCAGCACCACCACCACCACCACTGCCAGCTGTTGCAGCAAAAGCATCAGTGAAAATGTTGCCTCGACCACTGCCACCAGCAATTCTGCCCCTGCCCATGCATCTGTCACCGTAGCTGCTACCAGCAGCACCAGCAGCAGAGAGAGTCCAAGAGCAAGAGCTCGCATTCTTTGTCTGCATGGATTCAGACAAAATGCCTCGTCCTTTTCTGGGCGGACGCGCGCGCTGCAGCGGAAGCTCAAGTCGGTGGCAGAATTCGTCTTTATTGACGCCCCGCATGCACTCGCACACGTCGTCACATCCTCAGGTGCCTCTTCAGGTGCCTCTTCAGGTGGCTCCTCAGGTGGCTCCTCAGGTGCTCAAGCAACAGATGCTCAAGCAGGTCAGGGTAGTCTGCACAGCACCAAGGCAGCAGCAAGTGGTAGCCTTCCCCGACCCAAGTATGCGTGGCTGACAGGACCCATTGACCTTGCCCTTCAAGCATCCTCTCACACCACCCTCCACTGTTCATCATCATCCCCTCTTCCCACCATACCAGCTGGCACCGTGCCAGCTGGCAGTGCCGAAGTGGTGCCAGCTGTCACAAGCACGCGAGCTGTTGCTGCGGCAGCGCCAGCTCACGCAGCAGTGCCACCTGTGCTACTAGCTGGCGGATTCCCTGCTGACCAGCTGGACGGGCAGGTGTACGGCTGGGCGGCGAGTTTGTCCTATCTGAGGGAGGTGGTATCCAAACTGGGCCCTTTTGATGGGGTTTTGGGGTTCTCCCAAGGTGCTGCTGTGGCTGCTGCTGTTGCTGCTCTGGCTAGTCAAGAAAGGAAGGAAACACAGGGTTTGTCGCATTGCAAGGAGGGGGAGGGATTGGGAGGGACAAGGAAGCAGAGTGAGGAGAGGAAGGAGTGTGAGGAACAGAAGGGAAGGGAAGAGGGTGTGGAGAGAGGGGGAGCAGTGGGGGAATGGAAGGGATGGGGCATACGGTTTGCGATTCTATGCTCCGGTTATGTAGCCGCAAGTGAGGCGCATTCGTTTATGCATGACTTGACGGGTGAGGCGGTGGTAACGCTGCCATCGTTACACGTCTTCGGAGCAAGCGCAGACCACAGCAATGCCATGCTTGATGGCCCAAGCATACCAAGTGTATCAAACAACGACCACTCTCGGTCCACCACCCCCACTCGCACTGCTGATGCCACTGCAGCCACAGTGGGTATAATCACCATGCCAAGCTCTCGGCAGTGCCACCATGATCGGCAAGTAAGCCAGCAGCAGAGCGAGGAGCTTGCTGAAATGTTTGAGGCGGACTCTCGAGTGGTCTTGTGCCATGATTGTGGCCATGTCATCCCTGTGAACGAAGCAATCATAAGCGCTTTCAAGGATTTCATAATGCGATATGGAAGTATTTGATTAATGTTTTCATATGTCCGATTATACTATTCGACTGTAGCTGTGTTAGCTGTGGTCGTGTGGTGTGGTACAGTTCAGTTCAGTTGTGTGGCTCTTCCCACGAGTGTCTGCATGAAGGGAATCTGCGATTGGATGACTAGAAACAACGGATCAGTTTGAATCCCCGTGCACCGAACCTCCCCTATTTTCCTGCGTCTCCTCGCGGCTAGTACAGCTGGCGTAGGAACCCAAACCCCCCTCACCTTCCCCCTGGTTGTTGGTTTCCAAAACTGCGAACCAGGTTTCATAGGCGTCTCGGGCAGCTTCAATTGTCGTGCTGCCCTAATCATTCCAGTTTCAGATTGTGGATTTCCCATTTGTCGACTTTTCATGCTCTCATTGGATATTCCTTCCGAATGGAATTCCATTACCCCTCGGCTGTAGTAGCCGTCTTCTCCACAATTTTTATTCACTGGTTAATATCCCTCAATTCCAAGGGCGGCATCATAAGCCCCTGAACTAAGGGCGCGTCACATTTTTCACAATCACCACTCAGAATGTCGGGCAGAACACAACTATTTCACAACCAAACTTTGCATGTGGACAATCACATGCCGTTTTGAAACAGGCATATTCGTTGGGCGCAGAGGCGGGCAGAATGCACTTCAGAGTTGTGGTTTTGTTTTTCAGAAATCGACTTCCGATTCTTCAGTCAAAGCGAAAAGTTTGTCCCGCCGTCCAAGACCACCCGAGCCTGTCGTCAGCGTTACCACACCGTGCCTGCTCTGGTCTGGAACTCCGCCAGCGCGGTGGCGCATGAGCTCCCCTTTTTCCCCCGTCCCCGAAACCCCCCTGACTCCGGCGGTTGTTACCGCGCCTGCACGCCAGCTATGCGCCTGTGCGGCCCTCGAGTGGCCCCCCATCCCCCACAACGATACACCTAGCCCGCGGTAATTGCACACCCTGAAACTGGACGGCAGTCTAATTTTTGTTTCCACCCTGACCATTTCTGAGTGCGTAGACAGTATTCCCTTGTTCCTACGTCCTAAACGCGGCAGACTCCACGCGGACAAAACCTTTAACCACTGCCAAATCTGACGTAGGGTTTCTTGAATCGAGAACATGGCTATTGTTATCATCGTATTTTACCCCGATTCCTTGATTTCATCGGGTAGGTTTTTGGGCCAACCCTTTAAAAGCAGGGTTGCATTTTTTTTTACTCTTAGCCCTTCAAGGTTGTAAGTTTTCCAAAACTTGCATTCTTAGGGTCTGCCCTATACGAATACTGAGTTCACAAGGGTTACCGCACACGGACCCTGAGTGCAATGTCAATGTCCTTTACTAGTTTCCTCGAAATTACCCCCAAAATACCCCACCTCGAAACCCATCAATGCGGCAAACACGCGTCACGTGAAGCATCTCTACTCAGCAGCATTCACGCCTACCATTACATGTATCATGCCACTTATACATGAATGATGCCCACTGTGGGCACCCACAGTGCACTCGACAACGCACTAAGGACCACACGGCGTGGATCGGTGTCTCGCGTTGCATGCGGGAAACCTTCAACTATGCCTGCGCTGTCACCTCAATCGCACTGATAACCGCTGCATTAACGTGTTCCATGCCAGCGCAGGCACGACCCGGCAACATCGCACGGGGCATGCAGGAGGTTGGATGGGTTTCGGATCGGACGAACCAAGAAACACAGGGTTCGGTGAGCAGGAACCCCATCTTTTCCTGCCTTCTCTTTAGCTCATGTTTTAGTTCCTGGCACTGATCCAGTTGTGCCATTGTTGTTTCTTAGCCCCTAGTTTCCTCATTTAGGACCGTTTCGCTCTGTCCCTCACCATGACGGATATTGGTAAGGGTGGTGACTCGCCTGTCGATGACGACGACGGCATGCCCGCGCCTAGGGATCCTCCGGCAGCCATGGGAAGGTCTGCCTTAGACATCTTGCGCCCTGCAGGCGCATCTGCGCCACTTCCGGCCGATAAACCATCAGCCGTAGGGGAAAATCCACGCTGAACCATGTCGCCGCAATCCTCGCCCCCCACCCCACCCGCACCATATGTTCCTCCACCTGCCATCGCATCGTCTAGCAAAGGCCCCCGCACCTGGCTACACCGTGCGACCGCTACGACCGCTCGTTACACTATCGAGTGTGGTTCGATGATTTCGATCGCAAAGAAGGCCAGGATAGGGAAATACACCTAGAGCACAATCGTCAAAGGAGGTAGACTTTGTCGACCTTTGCCTCCTCTCTCGTCGCCTCCTCGTTCATCGCCTCCACGCTCGTCGCCTCCTCGCTCGTCACCTGAACCTGAGACAGCAGCTCCACCTGAACCTGCGCTGCCGAAGCTGAGCAAGCAAGAGCTGATTGAGCAGAATTACCTACTTGCTAAGTCAAAGTACAAGACGAGTTGGCTCCCCTATTTACCATGGTTGCTTCTAATGAAAACTAAATATGGCTACCCTGCTTTGAAGTGCAGCATTTGCAAAGCTTTTGGCAAGGAGACAACACCCTACTCGAATAATCGCGACGGTGCACGCGACCTTCAAACGCAGGCGATGCGCTTCTATGAGCACACCACAGCTCATGAGGAAGATGTAAAGCGGCAGATGGAGATCGAGACCAAGCAGAAGCGCATTGACGAATACGCCAGAACCGTCATCGAGGGGCGACAACTTATGCGACTTCCTGTGCAAATGCGATGCTTAGATCAGCATGTACCCACGCCTTCTCCACTTCGTGGCCGAGCCAAAAACTCCCGACACCCCACTGCAGTCCTATGGGGTCTACCTTACACGGTACGTTGGTTGAGTGGGATATCTTGCTGCCTTTAATACCGGTGCAAGACGCTTTCACACTTGTCTGTGTGTTCACATGTACTGCAGATACGTGTTCCAACAGCTCGTCACGCTTGTCGACATACCTTCAGGGCCTGCAGATGCAACACAGCCTAGCCTCGCCCTACTTTGGCATGAGCTGTGACGAGAGCACCGACCGTACAAGGGGGAAGCATCTCATCGTGTACCTCACCTTCATGCGAGCGCACCGTGTCGTCATCGAATTCTTCGCTCTCCTCACAGTCGAGAAGTGTGACGCTGTCTTGCTCCTCGTTGCTCTCATGTCCCATCTTCGCGCAACCGGTATCGACCTCTCCAAGATATTCGGCATGAGCACGGATAGCACGTCGGTCATGGTGGGGCGGGATAACGGGCTGGTGTTACGCCTGCGAGAGCACATCCCTTACCTCGTGTCCTCACACTGCATCACGCACACGTTTGAATAATCTTGTCATGCTTGTTTATTTCATGCAAAGCATTAGAGTGTAATCTTTTTGCCCTTGTGCCCTGCACGGAGGCACTTGCAGTGAAAAATGTTGCATTGGCAAATCCAGACTTCGACATGGTTGATCTCGTCATCCGGAACTTGGCCGACCTTCTCGGTCAATCGTGTGTCTGGAGTCAGAGGTTCAAGTACCTACAGCGTGCCATAAAATACACCCTCAAAGTGCGGGGAAACCACACGGTCCGCTGGCTGTCACGTAGTGAGGTTGTTCCGCGCCTCTGTAAGGTTCTAGGTGCAGCAATCATCTTATTTTATGAGTACGAGCATGAGTTGTACGATGTCGTTATCTGTTACAAGAAACAGTTTTGCTTGTCCTTCTTGGCAGACGTGTTGGGCATCATGAACGAGCTCAATATGAAGTTTCAGAAGCGGGAAGTGAGCTCGATATATTTTCGCATCGGATCGTGAGCTTCGCGCCTGCTCTTACTCATGCTTGCCCCTCCCTCTCCGCCCACCCCCCCCCCCCCCCCCCCCCACCCACCCACTAGATCGATGTTACCGAGGTGACGAAGGACATCGACGAGGCGACCGGGGATCTTCGCCACCGGTACCTATAGTGTGGCAAGGTGTTCGGGGGGGGCGTCGATGGCTCGTGGTTTTCGGCTTTCTTGACAGTGTTCGGGCGCGGCGACTGGGAAGTGGGTCAAGGTGCGGGGCATCGACAAGGACGGCAACCCCATCACCCACACCTACACCATGCACGAGCGGCAAATCAAGGGCCACAAGTATCTGAGCACCTACCCCGACTGCGAGCTATTCTGCGCGAAGTTTGCCCAGGACACGATGACCTTCATAAATTCGCGGCTGCAGGACCTGAACAATTTTGCGCCAACGAGACTCTTCCATGCAGCGAAGTGCCCGCGGATGAAGCAGCAACGGGACAAGAAGCTGAAGAAGTACAGTGGCGGATTAAATTGCCCGGATGTTTAACACTTTGAAACAGCACGCTATGCCACACATGTTTCGAAAATAGTAACACCCGGTTTTTTCCATTCCGTTACAAGGTTTCCGAGTTCTGCTTCAACCGTTTCTTGCTTGGCGCAATTGTGTCACAACCTAAAAGTGGGGTTGAAATTTACTCCTCGACAGTCGATGCGGACATTTCCAACCGAGCGGAAGAGTAGATCTATTTTCCCCCGTCACTCAGTGTGTACATCGTAACGCGCAATAGTTGCTGGCTTAAGAGTTAGTCCGGAAGCGAGCCTACGACCGCATCGCCATGAAGCCGTTAACTGAGCGGAAACGCGCGCGAATCAGAAGCATGTTGCGTGCGGGCCATTCGACTAGGAAAATAGGCAAAGTTCTTGGAATAGGCAAGAGCACCGTGCACGATTACAGTTTGAAAGTGGCTGCCGAGACTAGTCTCGAGGAGGTGCGACCTACGATGCCTTCGGCCGGCCGCCCCCGCTTAATCACTACCCGTCTTCAGCGCGGAATAGTACGCGCGATTACAAGCGGCGAGGCGAAAAGCTCTGTAGAAGCGGCAAATATGTTGTTGGAGAAGCACGGTCTCGCCGTAGACTCGAAGACGGTCCGGAACTCATTACGATCCGCGGGGCTGATCGCCATGCATCAGCCCAAGAAACCCAGGCTCTCACCGAAAAACATCCGAGATCGTCTCGACTTCGCGCGGTCGCATGCCGACTGGACGCTGGAGGACTGGAAGCGGGTGATTTGGTCTGACGAGACAAAGATAAACCGCTACTGCTCCGACGGACGTGCGTACGCCTGGATTCGCGAGGGCACCAGCCTTCGGAGCCATCAAGTCCAACAGACAGTTAAGCATGGGGGCGGTTCTGTGATGGTGTGGGGTTGCATGACGTATGAGGGGGCGGGGTTCATGTGCAAGATAGATGGCAGGATGGATGGGCCGCTGTATCGCAGCATCTTGCAAGATGAGCTCAAACAGACCATCGATTTTTCAAGCTTTCCCCCTCAGAGGTCATTTTCCAGCACGACAATGATCCCAAGCACAGGTCTCGTCTGGTCCAAGATTGGCTTGGGGAGCAGGAGTACGCGGTGCTGGAATGGCCGTCGTGCTCCCCGGACCTTAACCCGATTGAGCACCTGTGGGCATACTTGAAAAGGCAGCTGGGGAAGTACGAAAAGCCGCCAAGGGGAATGCTGGAGCTGTGGGAGAGGGTGCAGGAGGAATGGGACAAGATACCGGCGGAGGTGTGTGCAAACCTGATCGACAGCCTGCCGAGGAGTATCAAGGCAGTGATTCGGGCAAAGGGACGCTGGACTAGGTACTAGTTTTCCTAGAATCTAGTATGATACCTTTTTTCGGTACAAATTGTCCGGATGTTATCCTATGCTATGCTTAGGTGTTTAAGGACCATGTGTGGTACTACTTTGGTGTTTGTCAACTCGAGTGAGTGCTGTAACTAAACTTCTCAGCGTGTATGCACACCATACATTAAGGCTTAATGTTTACGCCGCTGCACTCATCAAAATGCCAAAAAAGACTGAACATGTGGACAATTTATTCCGCCACTGTACCTATACGGCTGCTGTTCCTTCTTCGAGAACAAGCCGTCCGGTTTCACCCTCAAAGCTGCGAAAAGGAGCTGCATACGTGGGCGCCGCTGATGCTGAGTCACCATGCCATCGAGGGCTTCTCGCAGGGCCTGTCGAACTATCTGCGCACTTCGGAGTCAAGCTCGTAAGTGTTTCGACGCAGTTTAATAGGTTGTGGTATTGAGTTTACACCCCGGCTTTTAACCAAGGATCTCTAACAACGGTGCATGCCTCCACCTTAAACGCACTTGGCAAGCGCTGGCCCAACCTCATGCGACTGTGGCAGGCGTGTACAGTATTCCCCCTGAGTACTGCGGAGTGTGAGCGCAACTTCTTCAGGCAGAACGTCATCAAGTCTTGTGTTCGGGGCGCATTGTGCAACGTGCTTGAGCGAGCTCAAGATCATCTCCTTGCTGCAGTATGACATCAACTGGGGTGAAACTCTAGAGTGTTGGCGCGAGAAGCTACGCCACCCAGCTAACTCGGTTATGTTTGTAAAAAAAATATATATATAAAAAAAAATCGACAGCTCAGGGGTGTTATTTTTTTAACGTCAGCCCCACTCAAGAAACACTAAATCGAGCAGTAAATGTTTTGTATAGAATTCCAAACTAAATTTGTTTTTCAAGGGTATCCGGATCTGGTCTTCAGGGGCTGCTTTTGGGGGGTGAAAATGAGTGAAAATACTGAGTGTGAAAATACCGCGAGCTAGGTGAATTCCTTCCATGAGAACGGCTCTTTCCTTCCACCTGATCCACCCCACCCCCCACCAAACACCACTCACGCAACAAATCGCAGCCATCCAACTAGAATGCACGATGCACCATCCAACCAACATCCACCATCACCGCCACAACTTCTGTTTCCCCACCAGCCTTCTCTCTGTGGCTCAGGGCGTGTCACAAGAATTCAGTTTTTTCGTCTGAAACGCTCTAGAACGCATAGCACCTAATTTAACCGTCCATCACCATCCAGCCTTCAACCCTTCCATTCCATCCTTCCCCCCTTGAGGCTGCCAGCCTGTAATCCCAGCCCACTAGGTTTTGCTTCCGAGAATCAGGCGATATTTCTGCTCCTCTGACCTGTCTCATTCATAATTCCCTTGCACTGCAGTTCTCGAGTTCGCTTATTGGTCCTTTGAAGCTCCTTAGGGTTTCTTTCCGTTGCTCGCTACCGTCCTGTGTCCGCCTATCCGCCGTCTGCTTTTCATCTCGTGAAAGGGCACTGAATCGTTTAGGACAATCCTTAGTCAAGCCCTCTTGTCGGTGGTGCAGCGGTGATCTTTAGCCACTCCCCTAGTTATGTATATTGCTTATTGCTTTGACTCGGACTGATAAGAGGAAACCAGCATCAGCATGCCAGTTGTCCGTAGGTCAGGCATTTCCCCGCTGTCCGCGTTCCGTTTCTTTCCTAGGTTTCCATTCCTATCCTTCGGCTGATAGTTAGCGGCCACTCGTAATTAAATGGACCCGTCAGCTTCGTTTCTCCGGCGCCCGACCGAGGCGCCGTGGAGTGCTCTTAAATTCATCAAGGTCATCGGCGAAGGCCGGTTCGGTACGGTTTGGTTGTGCGAGGATGGGCGAACCGGCGAGCAGTACGCGTGCAAGAAGGTCCTTAAAGAGTCCCTTAAGGACTCACTCCTCCATCAGCACTTCTTACGGCAGGAGGTTGCTCTGCTCGACTCCATGGCGGGGAAGCATCCCAACATAATCGAGCTGAAGTACGTCTTCGAAGACCATGAAGCGATTTACCTCATGATGGAGTTTTGTGACGTCGGAGATTTGTTCACCTACGTCACCAGCAACGGATGCACGATTCCTGAGGCTCGCAACTGCAGCAGCAGCGGCAGCAGCGGTAGCGGTTTCGGTATGAGCTCCGCGAAATCAGGAGGAAAGGCTTCCAGCGATGAGAGCTCCAGCAGCAGCAGCAGCAAGCACCGGTCCGGTCTGTCCTGGGGATTGCCGGAGAATAAAGCCGTGCTGGTTTTTCGTCAAGTGGCTCAAGCCGTGCTTTTTTGCCACAGGAACGGAGTCATGCATCGTGACATCAAACTCGAGAACGTCCTGCTCTGCAGCCCACTCAACTCCGCCGGTCCCCAGTACTACTACTGCTCAGCTCTACCCCCTCCCCCGTTACCAAAACAACCTGCCGCTTCAGACGTCCGTGTCCTCGCGAAGCTCGCAGATTTCGGCCTGGCGGTCCGTCTAGCTCACGGCGAGAAAACCGTCGGAACTGCCGGCAGCCGGCTGTACGAGGCTCCGGAGGTGATTCTCGGTCAGGAGTATGACATGAAGGCCGACGTCTGGTCGCTCGGAGTGCTTCTCTTCGGAATGATCTCCTGCTCCATGCCGTTCCAAGGCCATGGCGACCGGCAGCTGATTCGCCAGATTCTCCGCGGAAACGTGGATCTGTCGCGTGGAGGCTGGTCCGCTGTGTCGGCGGAAGTTAAGGATCTGATCCGTGCGATGCTGTCGGTGAATCCCGATGAGCGGATTTCCATGGCTCAGGTTGTCGCGCATCCGTGGATCAAGGCTGCTTCCAGGCGAAAGCCACCTGTGGTTACCACATCTGTTACCGGAGTTTCTGGAGCTACTGGAGTTGCTGTTCCTGCAATTTCCGGTTCGTTGACTCCGAAATCGCCGGTTCATTTTATGGTGAGTCCACCGGGTAGCAGCAGCGACCTTCCGTCGCTAGATCCATGCAGTAAGCAAGAGGACGATAAAGAGGGCAAAGTCAGGCTTGTAACGCGGGGGGAAGGGAACGAGCATAGCAACGGGTTATTTGAGAAGAATATCGATCATGATTCCGATGTTTCTTCACACAAGAATCGTGACGGCAGGCACCAGAAGGAGAACTCCCTCCCTCCCCTTCATCCCACCACCCCGCGAGGCATTGCCGGGGGGGATGCGTCCTTAGGCCCGTCCGTAGTCCCGCCAGGTCAAGCAGGCGAAGGGGGAGAGAAGCATAGCGGCAAGGGACGGTCTTCTATGTGGGATTCGTTCCTTCCTGCCCTGTCCCCATCTCGTGGGAAATGGAGGATGGGATTTTAGTGTGGGGAGGGAGGCATAAGTGATTGATGGTGGGGATTTTTATATGGATTTTGCCAGCTTGTTTCTTGTTCTTCAGTTGGTTTCTTGACTGAAAGGGCCAGTTGGTCCTAAAACAGCTATAGCAGATGTTGCAGCCCGGGAAAGCTTCCCGTTGTGCTTGCCATTGTTTTTATTTTCATGTATTTCATTCATGCTGTTGTTTCTGTGCACTATCAGTTGCACCCCTGTTCTGCCATGCCTAGTGTGAATGGTCGAACCATGGAGATTTTTGTGCAAATAACCATACTATGCCTGGTGTGACTTGAGTGGTGGTAGGTGTTTAAAAGGAGTTTAAGTGCCAGGTAGCCATGAGAGGGCGAGAGGTTTTAGCTAGAGAGAGAAAAGTGACCAGAGAACAGAGTGACGGGACTAGAAGAGAGGGATACAAAAAGGGTGTTGTACCCTCTACAGTAAGTCCACAAATACATACATATATATAATATATAATTAGACACACCCCCTAGGCTTGGTAGCCGCAAGCCCACCCAACACGCAACACCCCCAAACCCTTGCACCCCCATGTCCTGCAGCAGCTGTGGCGTCTACCAGCAGGTCGACTGTCAAATTATATATATTAGATTATATTATATATATATGTTTAGGCTTGGTAGATCGAGGTGCTATATTGCCGTACTGGATCCTAATGTATATGGGACAGCCCTGGTAAATTATATAAAGCACCCTAGGGTGGTAACCAAAATGCCTCTAAATTTTGAGGGGGGTGTAATTAGTGGCTAATTTTGTATAACGCATGGGTGTTGTGGAACATGCGTATGTGATATTGTTTTTCCTAAACAAAGTGCACTGTCGTACTCTGCTGTATTTTGTTTTTCCCTTCGACATCGCGTACGGAAGTGGTAAAACACCAAACAGCCAATCCGTAGGAGGCATGGCACGATTTTCTTGGCGGGAAGGCGAGTGCGACCCAAAAGTCAAGTAGTGAACATTGAGTTACGAGGATTCAAGGGACCCACTTGTTCGGGCAGTCAAAATGGGTCTCGAATTTTCCTGTGTCACACCTCTTGAATCGCGCAATATACGGTAGGTTTAGTCAGAAAGTCACCAGTCCTAACCACTGGGAGAAGAAGGGATTTCATCAGGAGGTTTAGGCTCCATATATCCACTTTCCCTCGGGAAAGCCTTCCCAGTACCCTCCCTAAACAGAGAGAGATGATCCACGGGGTTATCCCAATGCCACGACACACCCCCCCGCTGGGATAGCATGTACACCAGGAATTGAACCCCCGATGGCTCTGATACCAAGTCAGAAAGTCACCAGTCCTAACCACTGGGACAAGAAGGGATTTCATCAGGAGGGTTAGGCTCTATATATCCACCTTCCCCGGAAAAAGCCTCCCCAGTACCCTCCCTAAACAGAGAGAGAGGATCGACAAGGTTATCCCAGTGCCACGGCATGTTCCTCGATAAATTTCCCACTAGCTCTCACGCTCAGGTGATGGCACAGCAGCAGTGGTAGAAAAGGAGGGTATCGCTCGTCTATGCTACTCGAACTCAAAAGTGATGTTGAAAGTTTCGGGGGGGTGTTCAAATATTTGCAGGCAAAAAAGACGGGTGCTATGTATATCCACTTTAATTAAGCACCCATGTCCGCTCAAGCCACCCATGAGCGTTCAATTTTGCGGGGTGCTGTATACGGGGGAATACGGTATAAGTTATATAATTTTAGGCTTGGTAGGTGTTATTGAAATTTACCGTAGAGGGTACAATACCACTCCTTGTATCCCTCTCTTCTATACTCTCCCTCTTTTCTCTCGTAACTTTTGCCTCTCTCCTAGCTAAACCCTTACGCCATTTTCATGGCTCCTTCTCTTACCTAACCTAGCTCCTTTTGACATGGTATCAGAGCAGGTGGCCCCTCCCGGGCCTGCTCCCTTCGCTTCCGCCGCGTACTCGCCCTTTCTCTCTCGCGCTGCCATGGCGGCCGCGTCGTCATGCCGCCGGCCGCGTTGTGCTGCTGTAGCGGCGTCGTCGTGCCGCCAGCCGCGTCGTGCTGCCGCGGCCGTCGCGACGCGCTGCCGTGGCGTCGCGCTGTCGTCGAGCCGTGGCGGCGTCGCCATCAACGTCAAGCCGTAGCGGCGTGACGGCGCCGTCGTGCTGCCGCGGCGTCTACACAACAGCACGCGGACGGCACAGACGGCATCGGCCAGCGCCCCGTCTTAGCGCTGGCCAGCACGCCCGCATGCAGCTAGCGCGCCACACGGGGCGGCAAGCTCCCGGGCTCCGCTGCTGAAGCACCGCCCCCCTTCCCCTGCGTCCCCTCTTCCTTGCCTCAGCCGACGGCTGACTCACGCCGGCCATCCCACCGTCGCGGAGCCCGGCCACGCCGCCGGCAGCTGCCGTCGAAGCCGCCGCCGCCGCAGCCGGTGCCGCATGCCATGCCGCCGCCGCCGCCGCTGTCGACGCTGCCGCCGTTGCCGCCATTGCAGCTACTACCCTTGTTGTCGACATCGCCCCACCTCACGCGCCGTGGGTTGACCGTGCTGAAGTAGGTGTCGCTGCTGCTGAGTATGGGGGTGCTAGGGGGTGTGTGACTTAGAGTGCTGTGTGTGTGGTGGGCTTGCCGCTACCGAGCCTAGGGGGTGTATTAAACTATATATAAGTTATATAATTGTAGGCTTGTTAGGTGTTACTGAAACTTATTGTAGAGGATACAACACCCCTCCTTGTATCCCTCTCTATTCTATTCTCTCCCTCTTTTCTCTCGTAACTTTTGCCTCTCTCCTAGCTAAACCCTCACGCCATTTTCATGGCCTCTCTTACCTAACCTAGCTCCTTTTGACAAACCCCTCCTTCTTGTATCTCTTCCTCTTCTAGTCCAACTCTCTCTGTCGTTTCTCTCGTAACCCTTCCCCCCAGCAAAACCTCTCGATTTTTCTCCTATGCCTAGCTTTACTTCTAGGCTTCAACTTCTTTAAACATGCTGGGCTGTGTCATCGTGCTTCCGCAGTGTACTCTCCCCCCTCCCATCACTTTCGCGCCGCCGTGGCGGCCAGTCGTGCTGCCTTGGCGGCTTTGTCGTGCTGCAATGGCAACCTCGACGCGCTGCCGTGGCGTTGATGCCACGTCATGGTGGCGTCGTCGTGCTGCCGTGGTAGCGTCGACGCGCCAGCGCACGGACGGCAGTGGCCAGCGCCCGGTTTTAGCACCGTCCAGCTCGCCTGTATGCAGCGTCGTGCCAGCCATGGCGCCTCGCTGAAGAGTCCCCCTCGCCGGCAGCGACATGGCCTGCAGCTCCTGCGGCGGCGGCGGCGGCGGCGACGTCAAGGCATCCGGCGGCGGCGGTGCCCGAGGCACCTGACGGCATGGCACACACTGTGACGACGAGGGGGGGGGGGGGGGGAGAGGGGGGGCACGAGACCTCTAGCAACTGCCACGGCAGCACGAGGACGCTGCCACGACGTGGCGTCGACGCCATGGCAGCACGTTGGGGCTGCCACGTCAGCGAAGAAAGGCCGCCGTGGCAGCACGACGTGACCGCCACGGCGGCGCGTAAGTGACAGGAGGGGCGAGAGGACGCTGCGGAAACGTGAGGATCGGCCTGCTCTGATACCATGTTTAAAAGGAGTTTAGGCGCTAGGTAGCCATGAGAGGGCGAGAGATTTTAGCTAGAGAGAGAAAAGTGACGAGAGAAAAGAGTGATGGACTAGAAGAAAGAGGGATACAAGAAGGGTATTGTACCCTCTATAGTAGGATCCAGTAATGTAGCACATCTACCAAGCCTACACAAATATATATTTAAAATATATAATTTGACAGTAGGAATGCCGCAGAGAGATGTAAAATTTTGAAAAGATAGTTCAAAAATTAAGGATTATGACAAGACTCGTATAGGAGGATGCAATAAGGAGTCATCTTCTCATTATCTTGTGGCAGGTCCATGGACCTGCCACCTAGTCTGAATCACGTTAGTCGCTTCTCCTATCCCTTCCGCGTGTCCCTAGCTCCGATTCGCTACCACCTTGAGTGACGAGTTTGAGCTGATGCAAGTGACGAATTTGTGGTTGGTATGGGTGACGAATTCCCGCTGCTGCGGGCAACGAATTTCCATGGCTGCTTGTGACGAATTTTTGTTGCCTCTGGTTCGCCATACGTATTTCCGCGGCTGCTGCCAGTGGTGCTGATTATGAATCTCCGCTGCTGCTGCCGTTGCTGCTGGTGACGAATGTCCGCTGTTGCGGGTGACGAATTTCCTCTGCTGTTGGAGACGAATATCTGCTGCTGCTGATGCTTTTGTCGGTGACAAATTTCCGCTGCTGCTTGTGACAAAATTCGGTTATTGCTGGTGACGAACTTCCGCTGCTGCCGCTGACGAACTTCCGCTGCTGCTGGTGGCGAATTTCTGCTGTTGTTGGTGACGACTTTCGGCTGCTGTGGTGACGAATTTCTGCAGCGAAGTGAATCGGGTACTGGCGACAGCAGTCGACTCATTATAGGCTTATCGCTGTCTTAGATACGTAATTCCTGTGACGGCTCTGTTGGCGGTGACACACACATCTGCTGCTGCTAAGGCGGGCAATCTCCTGCCTCTTATGGTGCCAATCACAACCGCCACATCTGACAATGGAGGCCGCGGCTCCAAATGCTATCGACGGTGACGATCTCAGCTGCAGCTGCCGTAGCTACCACTTTTGCACTGAAGGCAGTTGCAGCTATGGACAAATGCGGTGGTCAACCACCAGTCATGCTAGGGCACTTCGCTAACCAACGCAGCTGCTCCTACTAGTCGCAAACACAGCTGCTCTCAGAACTGCATCCTGCTGCGCACAATCACTGTTGTGGTGGGCAGCAGCCTATGTTGGAGATCCATCACCACCTACGCTAATGGAAGTACCCTTTGCCCGTGGTGTGAAGAGTCATCACAGCTCGGCTGCTGCGTGAACAAAAAATTGCATTTGCTGCTGTGAGCAAGGAAAGAGCTTTGCTGTTAAGCAAGAAGAGCTTTGCTGCTATTAAAAGAGACTTTGCTGTTGAGCAAGTGAATCTTTGCCTTTTAGAAAGGAAAAAGAGACGTCGCTGTTGAGCAAGAAAAAGGTTTGCTTTTGAGCAAGGAAAAGCCTTGCTATTGAGCAAGAAAAATATTTGCTTTTGACCAACAAAAGGCTTTCCTCTTGAGCAAGAAAAAGCTTTGCTGTTGAGCAAGAAAAGGTAATGTTGTTGAGAAAAAAAAGGTTCCCTGTTGAGCA